TTCAGCTTACCGTAACTTTGTATGAGGGTCGGCGGGAATTGATACAGGATTTGCATTGGACAAGCGTGTCAATAGCTGATCGATGTAATGTTTTTGATGAATAAAGATAACATTATTCAATCGCGTTCTATCTCTATATCAACATATATGGTTCCCTTAGTCATCTTGAAAGTCGTATTTAAGACAGAAAGAATTTTATTCAACGTGTCTTGCAATGGTGCTATGATTAGTCCGTCATCGACATAATGAGCGAGGTATACCTTCTCGCCTTCGAACTGACCGAGGTAGACGCAATGGTCCGCGCTGCCTTGCAGGAAACTAAATCTTTGTAAGAATTCGTGAAATTATAACAGCATCTTGCCACTTATTTAAGGCCATATAATGCCTTGTTTAATTTACAGACCATTCTGTCATTTCTTGTATCAATACTCTCCGGTAGTTGCATATATATTTCTTCGCTGAGAGTTCCGTTAATAAACGCAGTTTTAATATCGAATTGGCTTAACTCTTGATTCTTGCACGCGGCGATCGTCAAAAGGATGCGTATTGAATCGTAGCGAACTACGGGAGAAAACGTCTCAGTATAATCGAAACCAGCTTTCTGGGAAAAACCTTTTGCGCACAAGCGCGCTTTGAAGCGGATGTCACTTTCTGTTGAATTTTCTTTAATTTTAAAGCCCACTTACACTTAATTATGTTACCGTTTTTAGGTGGTTGAACCAAAGTCCAAGTGTTATTCTTTGCGTGAGCCTCAAGCTTCTCACTGATTACTGTTTTCCACCGATCTGCGTTTTCGCCCGTAATTGCCTCGGTAAAGGCCGTTGATTCGTCAAATGTCGTACGATTCGGCGGTTTTAATAGTTCTCGGTTCCTTAAATTATATGCTGCGGCTTGTCCTATCTGCTCTGAATTCTTTGCTTCATCAATTTGTTCAAAGGATTGATTTTGTTTTTGTTCGAGAGATTTGGAACTATTTTCGTCGGTAACTGTTAAATCTGGCGATACATTATTAGATACTCTGTCCAATTTGTCGAATATTTCGTTAATTACAATGTCTCTTGCTACTGTTATTTTATTCGTGAATGGATTGAAGAGCCTACAGTTTGTATAGATTCGCCGTGATATCCCACCAAAATTAACTTTCTAGATTTGAGATCCCACTTCTTTCGCTGTTCCTTAGGCACATGCATAAATGCGTCACTGCCAAATTTATGTATGTATATGCGACAAGTCAGGCTTTCTGCCGTGCCATAATTCGAAGGGAGTAACGTTACGCGATCGCGAAGAAATGCATCGATTCAATATATATGCTGCTAAATTCACAGGTTCGGCCCATAGACGTGTAGATAAGTTTTTTGCAAGTAGCATGATACGAGCACACTCAACTATTGTTCTCATTTCCCTCTCTGAGCAATCGTTCTGCTCATATGTGTACGGTGCGGATGTCTCAAGGATGATTCCGCGGAAAGCAAAATAATTTGTCATGTTTTTATTACAAAATTCCGTGCCTTTGTCGGTTCTAACTCATCCCGAATTTGTTTAAAACTAATTGTTTGAATTCTTTAAATTTGTCTGTGACTTCGCTCTTATGTCTCAAGAAATAGGTATGACGAAAGCCTGACTTGTCATCCTTAAAAAGTAAGAAATATCTAGAGCCTCCGATTGATGTCTCGGAGATTGGGCCGCAAACGTCGGTATGAATAAATTCGCCGACTTTTACTTTGCGAGTTTTCTCCTTAGGTTTGAATGGCATACAATGTTGCTTACCATATTGGCAGCTATCACAAAAAAATTTATCATTATTAGATAGGGAAATTCCGCTTACAATATTATTGTTTATCATGTTGCGAAGATATTGACAATTTATATGGTTTAAGCGTCCGTGCCTTGTTCTTAGACTATCGACTGCGGCCACGTTTGTTTCGTTTACAACTTTAATTAATAACCGAAACAAGTTATTACTTTGTTTGATTCCGTAGGCCATTGTGGAAGCACCGCGATAAATTTGTACACTGTTCGACTCGAATTTTAGAACGTAACCTTTTGATGTGCATACACCGGTTGAGAATAAATTTTTACGTAGCGATGGTATATATAAAACGTCATCGAACCTATTATCTAGCCATTTGCCATTGACGAACATTTTAATATTTATTATAAGCAGCCTCTAATTTCACAAGTCGAGTATACCATGAAAGTACCGAAATCCGTCTTCCTTTATCGAGTCGAGGGCTTCCTTCTCATTCCGAGCGTCGTCACATTTCTTGTAGCAGCGCTTCTCGATGTGACCTTTTTTGTGACAGTAGCAACAAATTTGTCGTGTCCAGCGCGTTTTTCTTGTTACGCTTCTTCTTTTGAGTTGTTGACGTTGCGTTTCGAGCCATTTTTCCTTTGAATTTTAACTGCGGCTAATGCGTTTGTTGCTTCTTCAAAATTGGCCAATCGACCTTCTTCGATGAGAAGTCATTCGATGAGGTTTCTCGAGTTCAATTGGTTTCGCTTACGATGTTCCAGGCGGTGATGAGCGAATTGAATTTCTGCGGTAGAGTGCCGAGGATCTTGGCCATTATCATAATATCGGATAGTTCTTCGCCGACGTCTTTTAACTTGGCCATACTCTCAATCTTGGCGACATGTTATACATTGAGTCATTCGAGGCTACCTTGTATTCGTAGAATTTTGTCATAAGAAAGGCGAAGTAAGAGTCAGCGCATTCCTTAAAAAGACATGTAATTAAAGACATAAATTAAAAGTACAGAAAAGGTAAAAAATGAAGAAAAGATGTATACTAAAAAATAATCCTTTTTAACGAAGATAATTTAAGACAAAGAATTTTTTGTTTGATCTGAAGTTACGGGACTTAATATTACAATTGTCAATGCTATTCAAATGTCTCGGGATAATATTACTGTTAATGCACTGTTTAATAAATAGAGTATGTATGTAATTCTTTATAATCAAGCGGCGATATTTAATTCATAACTTGAGACAATTGACAGCATAAAAGCCGAAGTGATAGCGTATAAATTTAAAAAAAAGACGGTAAGAACTACGCATTATTAAAGCCTGCGTCTTTAACCACTGTCAGAGACGGCTGGTTTTTAAACTTATCTTCGGTTGACATTCCTGGCAACGTACAATGCTTCTTGCAATTGGGAAATAATTTCGCGCTCCTGTTTAATAATAAAAACAAGATAATTTTTTATTGCATTAAGGGGATTGAGAGCAGTACATTGAGAATGCCTTTGGATAGGAGAATTGATGTGACTAATCAGTCTATTCCTATCCTGAACAATATCATCTCTTCTCCTATCTTTACATCAGCCACAGACAAACAATTGTCTAAGTTAGAGTCCGACACGCGTTTGTATCGGCGCATCCCAACATTGTTTTCACGCTTGCTGATAAAGACAACGTCACTGTTGCTATGGACAGAGACACATACAGGAACAAAATGACCGCGTTATTGGAGGACTTAGACACGTATGTTTTGATTAAGAAAGATCCGACTAAAAAACTTACAACAGCTTTAAGGTCTATGCTTATTAGATGAAAAACTAAAGGTCATATCAAGGATATCTGAGTACAGGACGTTATACTGTAGTGACCGGTCACTTCCGAGAGCCTATGGGCTGTTGAAAATTCACAAGCCTGGTTGTCCTCTCAGAATTATCGTATCATCGGTGGGTAGTCCGCTGTATTCATTGGCTACTTTTTTGCACAATAGACTATTTAAAATCATTCCGAAAGCGGACAGTTACGTCAAAAACAGCTTCGAATTAGTCGAAAAATTGAGAAGTGTATACTTTACAGGTGCACATGAACTAATTTCTTTAGATGTGACTTCTCTTTTCACGAATGTTCCAATGGATATAGCGGTCGACTGTGTGAACGAGCAATGGAATTTCATTTCCAAAGATTGCTTTCTGCCCAAGAATGAGTTTTTGGGAGCGATACGGTTTGTCTTAGATTTTTCTTAGAACCTTTTTTTCTTTTGATAATGTAATTTACAAGCAAAGCTTTGGCACCCCCATGGGCTTTCCATTATCACCGGTAATAGCGGACTTAGTGATGAGGAGATTGGAGACGGTGTCCTTGATGTCGTTGAATTTGGACATTTGTTTTATTACAGATATGTTGATATATGTACCGCGGTTGATATATGTACTCCCTCTAAAATCGACGTTTTATTAGAACAATTCAATTCTTTCCATCCGCGCCTTCAATTTATTGTTGAAAGAGGGGGAGATATAATAAATTTCCTTAACATCACCGTATCCATCAATAACAATCGTTTCATTTTTTATTGTTACCGTAAGCTGATGTTTTCAGGAAGGTTTCTAAATTTTTATTCTAATCATCCTTTGACACAGAAAAAAGGAACTATTTTTTCGTTAGTTGACAGAGCCTTTTTATTATCTGACGTTATGTTTCATACAAAACATCTGACTTTTATTATTAATATTTTAGACTATCCATTGAATTTTATTTTTGACTCTATTAATCAATGCATTAAAAATTTAATTAGGAATAGAAACAAAGTACATAATGATCTGACTGACAATGTTTGTGTGAATAAAACTGCCTCTTGGCTTACGGTTCCATACATTCCTTGTCACACGGAGAAATTTAGAAAATTTAATAAAAATGACATCAGGGTATCCTTTCATAGCCCCAACAAAATGGGTAAATACATAAAAGTACAGAAGGACAGTTGTCCTCATACATTGAAAAGCAATGTAATATGTATATAATATATGGATATAAAATATCGTGTAACAGTTGCGATGCGTCTTATATTGGACAGACAATTGAAAACCAGAATTACTGAATATCGTAATCATATCAGGCATAAAACTTCTGTCCGTTCTGTCATCACTGAACATAGGCTACAATGTAATCACGATTTCCAATGAGACAACGTCATAATCTTAGATGAAGAGCCTTGTTATAGGAAGCGTTTAATTTCCGAAATGCTTTACATAAAGAAGCAGAAAAACAGTCTTAATTTATAAACGGACACTGAAGGTCTCCACAAGGCATATTTACCCATTATAAATAAAGTTTGACTTTTTTGATATTGATGGCCCGTCTCCTCTCTCAGTGCGTGGCGATTCGTTTCAGCGAGCGCGGTCGCATTAGTCGATACACAATGTTCGTTTTTTCACATCTGCATTCCATTCTTCTGTATGCGTTTATACTATTTGTTATACTTATATGGATACATTAGTTTTGAATTTTTACGAGTATACTGGTGTGATTCCAGATTGTTCCCGAAAGTGCTAGCAGCAAGAAAACCGGATTGACATAAAAAAAAGAATAATCGAGAATCTTCTCGTTTACTATGAGAAAAAATATGAGAACAATCTGAAATCACTTTGATACGCACTTAACAATTTTTACCGCGTATTGTTGCGTGAAGATCAGCTGCTGATCGACGCGTCTATCATTGGCCGCCGTTTCGCAGTGGCGCCTTGCTTGGCGAGTAGCCAATGAGGACAGTGCTACGCGCTGGGCACGTTCGCGTGACTCATTGGTCACTTGTCGTGTTGAGTCGTTCGCGTCATGCGTGACATTGTCACACGTGGAATGCTATGTTCACATAAATTCAACGCATATGTTATTAAATGAAATGATGAACTACATGTCCGAACAACGGTAAATTCGTGACATTGGCTATATCGTTTCTAAATATATTTCATACAAGTAAAAATATTAGAAAGTAACTAAACAATTACAAAATATAAATAATAAAGAGCATACAGCCACAATAAGCGTCACTTGGCCGCGCGCGATCTGTTGCCCACCAACTCCATATATGGAAGCACGCTGCTGAAGTAGCTGCAATCTTTACACCAAGGTCTCGGACATGGTCGATGTCTCGGATCCCTGGTCTATGAGAGCACAAGCAGGGTACTATTTACCGATATCATTGGTTGAATATACGTACATCAAATCATTATTATCATTGCTTAATAACTGAAATAATATTTTACTGTAATAATTTTAAATAACATAACATTCATATCTAGTATACAAGTACGGACTTTACTTCTAGTCTTAATAAAAATTACATTTTAATTATTGTAACGACTCAGAAGGAGGAGAGGAACAATAATTGAAAGAAAAATTGTTTGATTTTTTCACACGCAAGACAACAAAATTTATTGAAGCACAAAACAGATTGAGACTTTTCACAGCACAAATTCAACACGCACAGAGAATTTCTTTCGGATGAAAAAGTACACCGAACTGTAACGCAAAACTCTACTGCCGAAAATTGTACCGATCAGAAAAAGACATTGTCACGCGAGGAATGCTGTGTTCACATGAACTCAACGCGTACCTTATTAAATTAAATGATGAGCTACATGTCGCTCCGAACAATCATTAATATTGAAGACTAGTCAAAATCTGGAATGTTTATATTTTTTAGTTTATATACAAATATTTTTTATATTTACAATAAAAAAATAGCGATTATCTTTTCAATCGAAAAACTTATATTAATGATACAAAGGCTCAATTTCCTCGAGATGATAAAAGATACGGAGGACAAAGGACAAGCATTAATGATAATTGCAAATTTTTATTGTTAAACATAGCAAATGCCGCAGATTTGTATCAATGTCCTATGTTAATTTGCATGTGACAGCAGTGAGAAATGACAGAGATATACATTTGTCATGTACGTCTGCAGTATACGATAATTTTCAGAAGTTGAAACAAAATTTAAAATACGCGAAAAAAAATTGTTGTAGCAAGATCTCTATAAATACTTTTTAAGCTAAATTAGAAATGGCTAAATCACACTTGGCTTCATAAATATTTATTTTAATTTTGGTTTCTGTTATACTTAATTTTTAGGTGATGTATGCGAATCAAATCGTTAAAAGCTTTTCACAGAAATTATACTGCAACATTAGATTTTTTTAAGAAATTAACAACTGACTGCGACGTTGACAGTGGTGCATCGGCAAGATCAAAAAGATTTATAAAATATTTACAAAGTTTTAAATTTTATTTTTTATTAACTATGACCATCAATATATTTGAACGAATTGAAAATTTAAACACGGGACTTAAAAAATCTGATATCTGCATTGACGAATCGCATGCAAAAGTAAAAATAGTATCGAGCAGCCTTGCTGAAATGCGAAAATCTAAATTTGACTAGATTGGTCTAAGTCGACAAAAGCTGCTACTGCACTTGATCTAAAAGAACCAACAGTATGTCAATCACTAAAAGTTTTTAAACGTCTTGAGGGAAGCTGTGCTAGCAGTTCTTCTATCTTTCCAAATACAAAGGATTATTACAGAAAGATATTTTTTAAAATTTTCGATCAAGTAATAATGTCAATGAGCGATCGATTTAATTCTGAATGACGCTATTAAACTCTTTTGAAAATTTCGTGGTAAATAAAAAAGAAAGTACGGTAAAAGAAATAATAAAATTCTACAACACTTTAGTAGACTCGAGCAACAACTTTGATGCACAAAAATTTCAACTTTATCGTGATATGTTGTTCGAAATATTTGCTCAAAGAAATGTAAAAGTTTATAATTTAAAAGATGTTGTAACATATTTAAAAGAAAATCCGGAAATTCGAAGTCTTGTATATCCGAATTCACTAAATTAATTAGAATACTATAATAATAATAATTTTGGGTTCGGTGTACTAACGAAAGGTCGTTTTCCGTGCTTAGGCATCTAAAAAATTTTCTTCGAGTGACAATGTTACAAAAACGTTTAAATAATATAACAATTTTACACGTGTATCAGAGTATTGTCAAAAATTTAGATTTAGAATTACTAATGAATGATTTTATAATTAAAAACAAAATAAGAGCAGCAACATTTGCTTTATAAAACATGAAAATAAAAACGCATACATAGAAGAACATCTAAAATATTAATGTCACCTCTCTCCTTCACCCTCCTCCTCCAACCGAAACTCCATACATAGAAAAAATTTACTTCGGTCCTGCAAGAAAGTAATTAATGAAAAGATTGTTCTAGAACTTTCTATATGGAAGTGGTTATTACTGATTATTTTAAATTTATAAGGTTTTCTTGTCGTAGGGAGATGCAAGAGGGCAGCTACAGAGTTCTTTCGCATTATCCTGCGCTCGCAGGTAATCAAAGTGATTTCTGAATCGATGTCTTGTGTTTGAGTGATCTTGAGTTTTATTACTCTTATTTCTCCGTACTAAGCTCGCTTTTGGCAATGGTTCAACGGAGATTCAGCTGTATTTGCATGGATATCTTTTTGATATTTGGCGTTAGAATCTCCGTTAAATCCTTGCGGAACTCTGATTCTTGATTACAGGCATCACGATATTTCTGTAATTATCTATTAATTATTTATAACATTTGAGTTAATTAATAATTTTTTCATAATTATTTTATCAAGGGTTATTTGAATTGACTCTATCTCAGATAGGTGGTGGCGCTCCTCGAGTTTGCTCATAAGCATTTTGCAATTATCAATTTTCTAATTATTCATCATTTTGGGGCGCTTATTAATTATCCTGCTCGCGCAGGCGCATTATCCTTGCTTAGTTGGTATCGGTATCACGCGGTAAGCGCGTGACATCGCCCTTTCGGCCTCGCGACTCGCGTCATGTATTGAGCATATCGTTGCTATAGCAACGATTTCGGCTTTGCGACCGGTATCGAGATTATAGTTGTTATAGCAACGATACCCACATCGCGGTTAGTGACATTCGTTGTTATTTCATCTTTTTAGTACGACGAATGTTACATTTTTTCCTTAACATATTTTTTCGCTTTTAAATTACTTATTTAAAAAAATAAAAAAATAATTATATAACAATTTCTTAATAAAAACGCTTTTTTTTCTTTGTTTTTATTAGTAAGGGTATTCCTTATTTTATTCTAATTTATATTACAAATTATAAATTATTTAAATTTGTTTTAGGACTTGGTGGTAAACATTGAAAAGTTTGTAAAAGTCTCAAAGAATTATGAAAAAGCTGTTCTGCAGAAATATATGAATCGCTATGGGACGTTCATTTCAACTGTTGCGATTTCTTTTGTAATGGCGGGAATTACAGTCATATGTGCTCCAATGTTTTTACCTTTGGAATTTCCTATAGACGTGTGGTATCCGTTTTCGACGAAACCGCCACTTCTAAAATTTATTCTTTATTTTATGCAAATATTTGTAATTACACATACTGTCTTCTGTATTGGTGTGGACGTCATGATTGCTGTTATCCTATTTTATTCTTCAGCTAAACTTGAAATATTGACTTTTGAGATACAGCGAACTACTAATGAGATTCATTTAATATCATGTATCAGAAAACACCAAGAAATAACAAAGTAAGTGTAGAAATATGATATCTTTTAGATCTTTTAGAAAATAAATTCACATTTACTAATTATTCCCAATTTTAAGACCTCACTTAATAAACACATGTTAGTATACTATGCGTTTATTAAACGTAAGTATAATATAATATAAACATATGCATTGAAAAATACTTTATGAAACAGAATTTTATCTACTTTTATAATATATATAATAATAGTATAATATTCAAATTACATAGATGTTTTTTAATATGTAAAATTAAAATTTGCGAAAAATTCTTTAACATACTAAGACCCGCACTAATGTTATTTTAACTTTAAGCAAGACTTAAACTCTCTCCGTTTTATTTTAAAATAAAAAAGAGACAGAAACAGAGAGAGTTTTAAGCTTTGCTTAAAGTTACGTTGGTGTAATTGGGCTAAGAGTTATTAATTCACTTAAATAGTACATCATACCTAGATTTATTATCCAGATATGATATACCATGTAAATATGTTAATAAAAGGTTGAGCTTATATCCCAAATAAGAACAAGAAAGTATAATACACACGCACGCACGCACGCACGCACGCACACACAAAACTTCCGAAAGATAGTTATGTAATTGTAATCTAGTAATGTCTGTATCCATAATTTAAATAAATGTCAATTAATTGTAATTAAAAATCCCAGGTTTTCCAACCTTTTTTTTGTTACCCCTCGCTTCATTCCTCTCTCTAACTCCTGAGATCGCACGAGGTTCAGTCCCGGGTCAAAAGGATTAAGTTCCTTGACCCAAAAAGTAGGACCGACGTTCGCACCTCAGGAACAGGCGTCATAGCGTCCTTTCGGGACATTGATCCACATTCCGGGACTGAAAAAGGTACGTACGACTCACAGGTGTTCGCCTCTCCGCGTATACCTGTGAGATTGAGTCTAGCCGTCCTTCCACACCCTCTCTATTTCCCTTTTTTATCTCTTTAACCTCGGTTTTAAGGGTTTGGATGTAACAGTGTAATAACAGATTTTTTTAAGGATATTCGATGATTAATACGATATATTTCGCGATGACATCATGAATGCAATTTTGATACGTTGCAACGTTGCCAAATTGTATGCAGAATAATATAAAATTTAAAGATCAAGATGCATTGCGACGTTGCCAAATAGTGAGCATTATGATATATGTCCCACCCGATTTAGTCCTATACTCATCATAGTATTTGTGTTCTCTCTCTCCTACCCTTCGTGGGCCTATACTTAACATAGTATTCGCGCTCTCTCTTCTTCCAATTATATTCTCTCCTACGTTTTCTTTTCTTTTTGCTCGCAATTTCATTAAATAAATATGGTATTTGTTTTACGATTTTTTAATAATATGACTTAGCAATTATTTTAATTTAGCAACTAATTATAATAATATTTTTAGTAATGTAATGTAATACAAATAACTGAGCGTTTCTAATTATCAAACCATTATAAACTATTATTGCGTAGCTATCGAACACTTATTGTACTACGTCGTACTACTGAACAACTATTATATTATTAATTAATTCTAAATAACTATAGAGAAAGAAGATTCTTTTCTACGCGCAGTAAGGAGAAATGTAGATGCAGGAATGTGCAGATTTCAAAGTTACGTGACAAGCAGATGATGTCATAGAAGGGAGGGAAAAAAATATTTTAGGATTGTGGAGAAAACCCAGAAAGAAATACAGAGATTAGAATTATAATTTCTTATTATTCAATTTTAATAATATGATTAGCTTACTTGAGGAAAAATTACACTTTCTTATCATATATAATTTTAAACCGCCGAATAGAGACAGGGAAAAAAAGACCAAAAATAATTTTAAAAATTCAGTAATATATCTAAGTATCATATTATATATTTTTATAAAACATTAATTTATTTCTTACTTTAAATGTAACGCAGTGTATACAATTTCATCTGAAGCGCACATTACTATTATAATTCACATTCTATGATTGAAGTTTCATCATAAACTTTTAATGCATCACATTTATTATTAATACAATTTTAACGTATAATAGTCACAAATTGTTGATATATATTCTCTCGCACGCAATTTTATTAAAAAGATATGGTATTTATTTTATAACTTTTATAATGCGATTAGAATAATACGGGCACAATTTTAATAATGTTTTAATGGTATAAGTCGATCAGCTAGACTTTTTTATTAAGTAATTTATTATCACAAAGATATGAAGAAGGAATGATGAAGAAATTAGGGAAAAGATAAATTTTCAAAAAAATGTATATTTTTTTAATATAGATTTATTTATCTAATTTTTAATGCAGCATGTACAATATAATTTAAACCATAGACCACTTCACATTCTATAATAAAATTTATATCATAAATTTTGTGCAAAGTATTTGCAGCATCGCATTTACTAGTAATACAACAATATGATTGGAAACAAGACCGTCTATATAAATATTACAACTTTAAATACAAAGCGCCTTCCCGGTCCGAGTGTTAAGATGTTGAACTACTATCTAATATACATTCAATTAAATTGAATTAATATTTCAGAAATAAATTGAGAGCCGATGAAATTATCGGATTCACACAATCAATCTGAAACAAATAATCCCCCCAAATTCTCCCAAATCTTAAAAAACTGTAATAAACTTATTGTGAAAAATATTGCCTCGGCCGGGAGTCGAACCCGGATCTCTTGCATTCCATGCAAGCGTCCTGAGCCTTTAGACTACCGAGACCTTAGCAACACTCAATTTAATTGAATGTATATTAGATAGTAGTTCAACATCTTAACACTCGGACCGGGAAGGCGCTTTGTATTTAAACTAGTAATACAAGTTTGTCTTAAAAATGACACAAAATATTTGAATTTGTCACGAACACCGTGGGTACGACTTAGTTTCTAGTACGCATGCTCAACACGTTGCTCGAGCTCAAATAATAAAAGTACGGTTGTTGGTTTCATGTACAAGCATGTATCATATAATGACAATTTTACGTTTTTTGTATCACATACTTTAACAAGTTCTACATTCAGATTTTGAATCGGTGATAATGATGATGGGACAGTTGATTGCACTAATCGCTCAATATTTGCACGTTTCTCGATGAACGCTTTCCACATAGCATGAGGCAGGATTATGTGGTTGCTCCAATTGTCGCTGATCGCAATTTTCTACATGAGACGTAGATCCCACGACGATCCCGATGTCCAAGAACTTATACGCTGTCAATGTCAATACATATCTTCTCATAAAAATATGAGATATATAGCGAGGTTTCCAAGATGTATGAGAAGATGCGTTGTAGAAAATAAAAAACATGTAAATAGACCTAAGAAAAGTACATAACGTATAAAATGTATAAACAAAATTTTGATAAAATAAATTTATATAACATTACCATTTAAAAGTTAAATAATTAATACTAATAATAATTGAGTAATCCATTACAAATGTCTGGACCTTTATCGGATCACTTTCAATACAAATTCAAGACAAATTATACTGTTACAAACCATAAAATATGAACTCGGCAATGATTGTGTGTCATTTTGTTTATTTGATTCCTGCAATTGCTTTTTTTCACATGAATCTTTGAAATCTTTCTGATTATAAAATTTGTTACAATACGCGTTGCATATAATGCAAAATTGTCATAACTTGGTACATGTCTGTATGTACATGAAGCCGTCAACTATGTTTTTTATGTTTATTTCGTTTTTTTTTGTTATTCGAATTGAAACATTGCGTGGAGCATGTATACTTTGAACTGTGACAATATGTAAATGGTATATATGAGTAAAGAAATTAAATAATTTTTTATGACAAAAGTTGTATTATCATTAAATTCAGTGTTGTAAGTACTTTTTACAAAATTGATGATAAAGCTTCTATTATAGAATGTTGCGCTTCTAATATGAATAGTTCGCGCTTATATAATATTGAAAATCAACAACTGGTGAGTAAACATTGTTTTTCAAGGAGACAAACATATGAACACACAATTATAATTTAACATTTTATAATACTATTAATACTATTATAGTTCTAGTCATGACTGCGTTTCAAGATTGGAAAGATTGGAAACTTTATTCCACAATTTATAGAATTGTCTTGTATAAATTCATATTGAAATAATAAGGTAATAAAATCAACTTTGGTCGATTGTAGGATTTCATTTACCTAATTGATGGAATTCAAATTTATTTATTTAATTATAAAAAATTTTTTATACAATTTATGGCATATACACATATGCATACATATATTTTTTCTTGGTAAAGTTTATTTATAAGCATGTCAAATTAGGAACAAAAATCTTTTATAAATAAAATTAATTTTTTCTATAATTAAAGTAATTAAATTTTATAACATGTAAAATAAAAAAATTAAAAAAATAAAAAGAGGGATTAAATTAATAATGCATAATTGTATGAAATATAAAATATAAATAATAAAGAGCATACAGCCACAACAATAGATGTAAAAATGAGTCATATATTTAAAATTCACAAATAAATGAATAAGTAGACGTTTCGGTCAAGATGATTTGACCATCAGTATATAAAAGATAACAAATAATAAAAATATTACAAACAAGAAACAATTATCAGTAGTCGGAAGGTGTTACAATAAAATCAAATTATTGAAAATAATACATAAATTCATGGATAATGCGAATGTCAGTTAAGCTATCCTCTCTAAGCTCTTGTTTAGAAATTTTATTAATTTTTACCGGCACAAAATCCTTATGTGAAATATTATAAGCGGTTTCGTCAATGCTATAGGTGACATTATTCAAATTCTCGTTATTAGTCGGAAATTTTGCAGATCATAGATTGTTAATCTTTTTAATAATGTTAAGATTCTCTTTGTCCCAATTTTTTGTGAAATTAAACTCCTGGTGACGGTTTCATTATCTTATCATAAATTAGAAAGTGATCATACGATTGATTGGGAAAATCCTTGCATTCTTGATGCTGAATGCTCTTTTTATAAAAGGATAGTCTCCGAGATGATACATATAAAAAGACAAGAAAAAGGCTTTAATAAGCAGAGTGATACAGAACGTTTTTCTGAAATTTATCTACCTCTTATTGATAATTAGTTTCTCTTCCTACTCTTAGTGTTTCCTCCTCCATTCTCATTTCCTCTCCTTTCTTCACATGATATAAATAGTCTTTCATTTTAGACGGGCCTTCATAATTGTCGAAATTAAAAAATAAATTTTCTATACAGTTACAAAAGTTTGTTACTTATTCTGGGGTCTTAGTTGTGAGTTTTCGTGCCATTAGATACGTGATAAGTCTTATTCATCACAATCTCAAATTATTTTTCGTGAATTGTTATGGATTTGGAAATGTTTGGTATTGGTATAATAAAAACAAAATTTTAAATAAATTCTTTTTTATTTTTTTGATTTAATAGAACTGGGAAATTCCGTATTTTGACATGAATTTTGCGCTTCGCTCTTTAAGATATAGGAATTGTATTATAACAGAACATTGTATCATAAGATTAAAATATTGTATCTCATCTCTCTTGATTTATATTCACGATGTTCAACTTTTACAATAAGCGAAGGGAAAACACTATTTCACCTTGTTTTAATTTGCGGACTTTGTGTTTGTATTTTTATGTATTATTTTCAATAATTTGATTTTATTGTAACACCTTCCGACTACTGATAATTGTTTCTTGTTTGTAATATTTTTATTTGTCATCTTTTATGTACTGATGATGGTCAAATTTTGACCGAAACGTCTACTTATTCATTTATTTGTGAATTTTTAATATATGACTCATTTTTACATCTATTGTGGCTGTATGCTCTTTATTATTTATATTTTGTAATTGTTTAGCCACTTTCTAATATTTTTACTTGTATGAAATATATTTAGAAACGATATAGCCAATGTCACGAATTTACCGTTGTTCGGAGCGACATGTAGTTCATCATTTCATTTAATAACATATGCGTTGAATTTATGTGAACATAACATAGCAGTTCGCGCTTGACAACGTCACGTATGATGCGAACCGACGTGACACGGCAAGTGATGGTCACTTTTGGAAATGAGGAATGCGATGCAGCGCGCAGCACTGTTCTCATTAGCTACTCTCCAAGCAAGGCGCCACGGCGAAACGGCGGCCGATGACAGACGCGCCGATCACCAGTCGATCTCCGCGCAACAAAACGCGGTAAAATTATTAAGTGCGTATCAAGGTGATTTCAAATTGTTCTCATGTTTTTTCCATAGTAAACGAGAAGGATCTCTATTATTCTTTTTTTACATCATCCGATTTTTTTTTATGCTAGTACTTTCGCGAACAATTTGGAATCATACCAGTATATAAGATGCCGCGCGGTCACGGCCGATCAGTCTTTTTCTGATCGGTACAATTTTCGGCAGTAGAGTTTTGCGTTACAGTTTGGTGTGTTTTTCCGTCCGAAAAAATTCTCTGTGCGTGTTGAATTTGTGCTGTAAAAAGTCTCAATCTGTTTTGGGCTGCAATAAACTTTATTATCTTGAGTGTGAAAAAAATCAAACGATTTTTCTATGAATTAATATTCCGCTTCTCCTTCTGAGTCGCTACAACCGTTGTATCAGTAGAAAGTTTATGATTGATCACAATAATGAGACAGAACCATATTGCAACAATTAAATCAATCTTATTATAACAATAAATGATTGTCGTTATTAAGCAAGAATTTAATATTGTAGCAGTAAACATAGACCGTGCAAACGTTCAAAGAAATAAAGTATTTATTTTTATCTAAGGGATTAGTTGATCAATGTTGGTCTTTTATACCTTTTATATTATATTATATATAAAAAATTACAATTGAATTTAACGTAAATATATTGGACTTTAAAGACACAGTCATTTTTTTATTGTGAATTTTTTAGATTTTAGATAAATTTAAATCTATAAAAAATTAATAAAATAAAATTAATAAAATTTAACTTCTATGATATTAAAAACTAGTAAGGATTTCATAAGTATACAAGAATTTTTTTAGTTTTTTATACAATTCGGAACAATACAAAAATTTGCACTAAAATTCGGAAACTTAAATTGCGAATAAAGGATAAAAATTGCTGATGGAGGGATATAGTACGATAATTAGCCTACATTCTATTGTACATCAATAGAACAAAACTGAAAAATCAGATTGTGAAACATAAAATTATTTCAAATCATTGCTATTTAAAAAATACTAAAATGGATTTCAGGATCTCTAAAATCCATATGTTTCAGTTACGTTGAAGCGTTTCTTATTTTCAGGAAAGTCACACGAAAAAGTACCGTCAAGTGATAAGCTGCCTTATCTCCCTCCTTGCATAAAGATTTCATCCTTGTAAAATAAAATTCCGAAACCTAGGTTTATTCTAAAAAAAATACCTAGAATTAAATTCTTAAAAAATTCCTTTCCTATAATCAATGACGATAAAGTTATTAGGAAATTCTTTTCTCGATACGTCATACGTTATCTGAAATATACTGATCGGTGAGTGTCGACTATATGCGATATAATTTGTAGCACATTACCAATATTTAACACAAAAAAAATTGGAAAAACAGTACTACAAATTATTTGCTATCGATTTTATTGATATGATGATAATGATGATAATGATGATGATAAATTACAAGTGCCTGTCACTGTGTCACATCATATGTGTGATAATACATTAGATGATTTCTCATGATATATCTGTAATTTGTACAATTTTAGCATATATTAATAATGATACAAAGATAATAGTTCACACTACTATCGGTTTAGTTTTAGAGATCAAATTGACAAAATTTCTTTAAAATAATGTATTGCAAGTGTATCTTACAGCAACGCTATATTCACAATTTTGCAGAAAATAAACGTCTAGTACTGGCGAGAAAGCAAGCGGTTAAATAATATAAAATGTACAATTGTAATGCAATAAATGTCGAAGCAATTTAGGATGCTAAAGGTACCAATATTACATAAATTATATTCTTACAATGGGAAAAATATTCTCATTGCGCCAACACAAAAAGTACAAACAAAATTGATTAAATGAATCAGAATTCTGGTTACCTCGAATAAGATGTTCGATAGATTTAATTGTGTTCTATTAGTCGTATGTTTGTATTTTTCTGGTCTCTACCAGAATTTCAATTAAGGCAATGAAATTTTTTCCAATTTAACAAGAAGATGCAATACAAATATTACAAGTATGTTGCATCGGCATTGACTGTACTCGTATATACAAATACTCGTAGAAAGAATGCAATTGTGCTGCATCTTATACATAATATAAATGTTACATACAAATAGTGCACGTCAAAATTGTGAAAAGAGAAACTACACATAAATTAAAATATTTCCTTGTAATTGACTTCAATTACTTACCGATAAAAATCTACGCGACGACGTGCGTACACAAACCCGTACGTTGCGAATTATTTGATACGAGACATTTGCAGATTATAATATACTTTTTTAAAGATATTATTCATAATAGAGTTTTATTTCGCAAGAGACTGTTTGATTCTTTTCATTTCAATCGTATAAATTGATATTGTTAGATATACTTGTAAATATGCGATAGTGAAATTTGTCAAATGTGAAATTAAAATATTCAAAAATTCTAAGGGTAGACTTTTTTATAGTCCTCCCCCTGATCTCTCGACGTTTATTTGTTTCTTGAGTATTTCCTTTTCATACTGTGCTTCCTCCATTTCAGCCATCCGCGCAAAATGTGAATATGCCACATGACTAGATTTTATAGCTGACATCATCTGTATATAAAATGTTACGTCCAAACCCTTAATATTCGGTCAATGAGACGAGGAGGGAGAATGGAGAGGATAAGGAAAGACGGCTAGACTCAATCTCGCAGATATATGCGGAGAGGCGAACTCCTATGAGTCGCCTTTTCGGTCCCGGAATATGAGTCAACGTCCCGAAAGGATGCTATGACACCTATTCCGAGGGACAGTGCGAACGTCGGTTCTACTTTTTGGGTCAAGGAACTTAATCCTTTTGACCTGGGACTGGATCTCGTGCGATCTCAGGAATTAGAGGGAAGTATGAAGCGAAGGATAACTTAAAAAAAAGTGGAAGCTAGCGATTCTTAATTAACACTTAGCTTATATTTATTTGAGTATAATGTTATTGAGCTTACATTATATAAAATAAAATAAAAATATCATTATTATTTAATAGATGTGTTTGTAGATGTGTTTATGTGCGTGTGTGAGGAGAGACAGGAGAAAAAGAGAAAGGGTTATTGAGAATTAAAGACGAGGAAAGAGCACATCGGAACGAGGTGCTTGTATTGGACTATATAAGAAATGGCGTTTCCGGGAATATAGATTGTTACCAGTCTATCTCTCTTGTTGGTAGGGAAGGAATACAGACGGAAAGTCGATCGGCGCGGGATCCGATTAAAATGGAGGAGGCGAAAGCGGGTTCAGCGGAGGAGAGGGAGGGAATCGCTCCTCGAGGGAAGGAGGGAAATAATTCAAAATTTCCCTGATGGGGTCAAGTACGAGGGGGGAGGTTAGATCAAGAGTTAGATGAAGGTGCTCCGATCGGTCGGTGACTGGCGAGTAGATATTTCCAAACAGTCGTCAGTTGGTACGCTTTGTGCTGAACGGCCCCGCCTATTGCCTGGACGTAAGGAGTTCGCCTCCGGGACTTTTTTGCGTTTGATGGATGCGGACGGATGCACTATACCGTATTAAAAATAATTATATGTTATATATATATATATATAT